AGAACTCTTTGGAGCGCGCTGGCTGGCACGACGCCCCACCCCTTTCCCTAAGTGTTTGACGATTTTTATTGCTCGTTTGTCAACTCTCAACTCTCCAAACTCAAATGGTTCTTTCTCCCAAACACTTAGAATCAACTAAACCCTCAATATATGAAAGATTCAACTCGAATTCACACCTAAATACATGAATCAATCTCAAGAAACTTCAACAACAAGAACCCACAAGATTTCAAACGAATTTCATCAAGAACTCATAGGATTTACTTTCAAATCAATATAACTTTGCTGAATTGAATCATGATTGGCGCGTGGGTGAACTAACCCAACGCTATGTGATCTCAAATACCTCGTAGGGATCACCCCTTAACGAAATCCACAAGCTAAATCCTTACGGACGATGATCTTGGCTCTTTTCTCCTTTCTTCTCCTATTGCGTTCTTTCTCCAAAAACCCTAACTCTATTTTTCAAAAGCGTAAACTGAATCCTATAAGTTTAGACCTTAAAAAATTACCAAAAACGAATTAATTCAGTTGGGTATGGAAAAGACCAAACCACCCTTCCAAAATCTGGATTGGACTTTCCTTAATCGAACAACCCAACTTTCAATGGGCATATCTCACTTATACGAACTCAGAATCACGCAAACTTGGCGGCTTTGGAAAGATTATTCCAAGATATTTCCTACGATATCGGGAAACACACCAAACTCATCTTGAGCTAGGAGTTATGGTCATTTGAAGTTGACCAAAAACTCAAAATTAACATTACTTAACCAAATTTTCCAGATTTTCATTCTTTCCAAAAACGGCTCTTCTAATTCTAGTTCTTTCAAAAAAAGAGGTGTTACAATATCTCCCCCTTGGAAACATTCATCCTCGAATGAGATTTACTCTTAGTAGGCTAAGAGCGTAAAATTAAACATGCAGTTCAAACACCCAACAAGCATAATGTAATTACAACATGCCAACTTATAAATGAATACCAAGAAAAGGATTAGTACCTTGATCTGGAACTTCTCTGGATTTAAAGAGATGTGGATATCTCTTTTTCATATCTTCCTCAGGTTCCCAAGTAACACTCTCAACAAATTGGTTCCTCCAAAGAACTTTGACTAATGCTACCTTTTTTGTTCTCAACTTGCGAATTTGGAGATCTAGAATCTGAATCGAAATCTCTTCATAAAATAAGCTATCCTTGATCCCAATGTCTTCAGTTGGTATGATCAATGAAGGATCGCTCATGCACTTCTTCAACATGGAAATATGAAATACCAGATGCACCGCTGCTAACTCTTAAGGTAGCTCTAACTCATAAGCTACATTACCAACCCTTTTGAATATTCAGTAAGGACCAATATACCGGGGACTAAGCTTCCCCTTCTTACCAAACCTCATAAACTCTAACTCTCTTCTCCTAACATTAGTGTAGAATTTCTGACCACTCTGCACTGTTTTCAACCTCTCTTGAATTACTTTTACCTTCTTCATAGCTTGATGAACTAAATCTGGTCCTATCAACCTAGCTTCACCAACTTCAAATCATCCAATAGGAAATATGCACCTTTTTCCATAAAGAGCTTCATAAGGAGCCATATATGGATGTTAGAGTGGTAACTATTATTGTAAGTAAATTCAATAAGAAGTAGGTTCTCATCCCAATTACCTTTGAAAACAATCACACAATATACCTTGATACCTCAAAACACAATCTCCCCCTTGTTCAAAAGCCATAACTTTTTTCTTATGAGCACTTGCCTTTAATTCAAGCAATAAAGGATCTTGGTCTTGCTTCTCTTTTACTTCTGACACTAATGATGATTCAGCCCCATTCATCACCACTACTCCTCCTTCTGTGGAATCCATTAGTTGAACACCTAGTCGTGCAAGTCTATGCACCTCTTTTGCTAACTCTTTCTTATCTTCTTCAAAATGGGTGGTACTACCCATAGACAACCTGCTCAAGGCATCAGTAACAACATTAGTCTTGCATGGGTGATAGGGGATACTCATATCATAATCCTTGAGTAACTCTAACCACCTTCTTTGTCTGAGATTAAGCTCTTTCTGACTAAACACATAATGAAGACTCTTGTTATCGCTGAACTCATCCACATGAACACCATAAAGATAATGACGCCATATTTTTAAAGCAAATACTATGATAGTCAATTCTAGATCATGGGTTGGGTAATTCTTCTCATGAACTTTCAACTGTCTGGAGGCATAAGCTATAACTTTGTCATTCTGCATTAACACACAACCTAAACCAACTCTAGACGCGTCACAATATACGACCAAACCTTGAGTACCTTCTGGTAAGGTCAACACTGGGGAAGTAGTCAACCTCTTCTTCAATTCCTAAAAGCTTTTCTCACAAGCTTCAGACCATTAAAACTTAAATGTCTTCTAAGTCAACTTGGTCAAAGGGGCTGAAATAGATGAGAACCCCTCTACGAACCTTCTATAATATCCAGCCAAACCCAAGAAACTCCTAATATTAGTTGGAGATGTGGGTTTAGGCCAATTCTGTATTGCCTCTATCTTTTGGGTATGACCTCTAATTCCATCACCGGAAACTATGTGGCCCAAGAATACCACAGACTCAAGCCAAAACTCACATTTAGAGAACTTAGCATATAACTCCTTATATTTCAAAGTTTGAAGAACTATTCTAAGATGGCTAGCATGATCTTTCTCATTCCTCGAATAGATTAGAATGTCATCAATGAAAATGATAATAAACATCTCTAAAGAAGGCTTGAATACTCTATTCATAAGGTACATGAACGATGCGGGTGCATTGGTTAAACCAAACGACATGACCAGAAACTCATAATGACCATAACGGGTTCTGAATGTTGTCTTGGGAATATCACACTCCCTTACTTTCAACTGATGGTAACCAGATCTGAGGTCAATCGTAGAAAAAGAAGAAGCACCCTGAAGTTGATAAAAAAGATCATCAGTTCTCAGAAGAGGATACTTGTTCTTGATGGTAACCTTGTTCAACTGACGATAATATGTACACTTCCTAAGGAAACCATCTTTCTTTCTCACAAATAAGATCGGACCGCCCCAAAATAAGATACTTGGTCGAATAAAGCCCTTATCAAGGAGATCTTTCAACTATTATTTAAGCTCTTTCAACCCTGTTGTTGTCATTCTATATGGCGGAATAGAGATAAGATGAGTATCAAGAAAAATGTCTATGCCGAAGTCTATTTCTCTCTCAGGAGGGACTCCAGGTAGATCATCTCAAAAGATTTCTGGAAACTATTTTACTATTGGAACTGACTGAATTGAAGGTATCTCAACACTAGAGTCATTAACTCGGACTAAGTGATAGACACAACCCTTAAAAACTAACTTTCTCGCTTTAAGGTATGAAATGAAACGACCCTTAGGCACTGCTGAACTACTACTCCACTCTATGACTGGCTCATTAGGAATCTAGAACTTGACAACTCGAGTTCTACAATCTATGACACATAACAGGCATGAAGTCAGTCCATGCCTAGAATGACATCAAAATCTACCATGTATAACTAAACTAAATCATTCATGGTGTTCTTTTGATTGATGGAAATGACACAATCACGATACTCGCTCTGCTAGATTAGACTCCCCAATAGGTGTAGAAACACAAAAAGGTTCACAAAGCTTCTCAGGAAGAACATCAAAATAATTTGCAACATAAGTAGTCACAAAAGATAAACTTGCTCAAGGATCTAGCAAAGCATAAACATCAAGAGTAAAGACTTTGATCATACCAGTGACAACATCGGAGAGTTCTCTTGCTCTTGGCGACTAGTGATCGCATAAAGACGGTTTGCTCCTCCGCTAGTACCGGAAGTAGCTCCTCTAGGTGCTGCCCTGTCTGGTGGAGCAATTGATGAAGATTGGGTCATATTACCCTTATTTCCACTACCTTGCCGGTTCTTAGGGAACTCTTTCATGAAGTGACCCTCTTTTCCACACTTGAAGCAACCTGTGGAACCATCGTAACACTTACCTGGGTGGGTTCTACCACACATAGCACATGTAGGAGCCAAGTTACCTCCTTGTGCCACCCTACCCTGAGATTGGGCAGGTCTAGCCCTGAAGTGCTGGGAATTCTGACTATTATACTCACATTTGTTTCTGGGTGCAGGTGCACTAGCAGATGATGGAGTAAGCCCTTTTTGCTTTTACTGAAAGGATAAATGGTTCACATTACTTTTCTGCTGCCCGGACTCATTCCCTGTTTTAGCCTTCTTGTTTCTAAACTCCTCCCTATCCCTCAGCTTCTCTTTCTCAACCTGCTGCACATATACCATTAACCTCGATATATCCATGTCCCCAATTAGCATCGCTCCCCTTCCCTCTTTTCTTGATAGACAGGACAACCCAGCAACAAACAGACTCATTCTACTCCTCATATCCGCAACCATCTTCGGAGCATAACGGGATAGTTGGGTGAACTTCAACCCATACTCATGAACACTTAGTGTCTCTTGCTTAAGGGTAAGGAACTCGCATACCTTAGCCTCTTACTGTTCTTGAGAAAATAAACACCCCAAGAATGCCTCCTCAAAATAATCCCAACTCACAGGTGGTGCATCCTCATCTCGGTTCTTTGTCCATTGGTCGAACCAAATCCTAGCGACAACCTTCATTTGGTATGCAGCTAGTCCCACCCTCTCAGTATCAGCAACGCGCATGATATCAAATACCTTTTGCAGCTCCTCAATAAAGTTCTCTGGATCCTCAGTAGTGCTTGAACCAGTGAAACTTGGAGGGTTCATCCTTAAGAACTCGCGAATCCTCGAAGTGCCAGTCTCTTCTTGTCAATGTCACGACCCAAGCCTAGGGCCTAGACGTGACCGGCGAATGGGGAACCCGAAGGAACCCCAAACAAGCCTCATAGTGTATCATTACAAATCCTTGGTCGCGGAAGCAATTAAAATGACCATAAACGATAAGCATAATCAAGGGGGAAATCGGGACTAAGGGAGCAAGAAAAAAAAAGAAATGATACATAAATACCATAGATGAGTCAAGCTCAAGCATAATACACAACTTGTCCAACACCACCTCTAAACATGGGTACTTTAGCGGGGGCCAAGACAAACAACCAGGCTCACCCTCATAGTCAAAACATAACTAAAAAGGAAAAGTCTTATACATAGCAAAAGATCATAAGCAACGTCCCCGGAATGGAGGACTCACCAATAACCTCGATAGAAAATCGTATTAGCCACGCGGGGGAGGATGGTCACGCGGTGCTCCGGTCCCTACATGGTGACATCATGTAGGCATAGAGTATGCATTAGTACGTTTGAATGTACTAAGTATATGGGATGCAATGCAATGCAATAATAGATGGACATCATAGGCAAAATGCATAATCATACCCGATAGATAGCATATTGATGAGATAATATATATAATGATGCTTACATAAAAATCATATTTAGTGGGACGTAGTGCATGTGTGGCGAGTGACCATCAATATAGTATTTCCAAGGCCTACCACCCCCTTGGAGAGGCGAAAGAGGTACAAACCCCTCAATGTGGTTACCCGGGCCTACCACCCCCCGAGTTAGGGACCAAGGTACAAACCCCTCGATGTGGTTATACGGGCCTACTACCCCCCGTACTAGGCAACCAAGGTACCAACCCCTCGATACGGTTACCCGGGCCTACAACCTCCCGAGCTAGGCTTGGTCGACTCACAACACTTATATAGAGAAAATCATATACATGTATCTATTTCATCATCATTTCAATGATTATATGACCATCCGACTCATAGGACGTACATTGGACCTTCCATTTCCTAAGAATTCTATAAGTGGACATTTTATCAAACACATGGTGGGCTATTGTTCATGTAAATAAAATCATGCATTTCAAGAGTACTAAGTCCAACCAATTCCAAAATCCATATAAATCAGCCCACCAACAACATACATATATATATATCAACTTTCATAATTTAATCATGGAAGCATGAAAACCATAAACATCACATAATAATTCCATTTCATGATAATATGCAAAATAGACCATAATGGGGTGTGTAGTAGTAATTCCATACTTCAAGAGTTCATAAATAACCATAAGGACCCATAAACTTGAAGTAAAAATAGAGGATAAATGGTTGGACTTGTGGAAAGGAAGGTTTTCACAATCAAACTCACATACCTCAACTTTGGAGAATCCTTGATGAAGATTGGAATGGAGAATTGAAGCTTGAGATTGAGTCTTGAATCCGGAATTAGAGCTTGAGATCTTTGAATTTGGTTGAAGATCTTGGTGGAATTTTGGAGAGGGCTTAGAGAGTGTTTTTGAGTGTTTTGAAGTTAGAAAAAAAATATGACTAAGTATGGGACATATCCCCTTTTTATAAAAAAAAACGCCCCAACACTTAGCCTAAAAAATGAGGCTTTAAAAAAAAAACAGCTTACTGGAAATTGCAAATCTGCACAGACAGGTTTTACGAAAATGGTCATAACTCCTTCATCCTAACTCGGAATGAGGTGAAACTAGGTGCGTTGGAAAGATAACTCAAAGGGCTTTAATTTAATAGGTAGTGTACTTTCCAGTTCCTTGTGTGCTAAGAGATATGCCTCTTCAAAGTTGACCCTCCAAATCGCATTTTTTTGCGATTTTCGAATTTTGATACGGTTGCTCTAAAATTCGTGTTAGACCCATTTCCCACTCAATTTGACCCCCTGAATAAGAATATGAAGTCGAATTTCCAAAATCATGCATGGATTTTGAGATATATGGAAATTACAATTATAGGTGTTTCCGAAGCACATTTTCGGGCATTTTTGGGGTCGTTTCATTCGAGCTCCTTTTTGCAGCCCAACCTGGTTAGTCACAACTTGACTCAGCATCTTTATTGCTTCCCTGAACTCAGCATTAGTAACTTCTCCTTGGGGTTGTACTTCAGGTGCATTAGGTACCCCTTGCTCCTCAATATTACGCCTAGCAGGACGACCTCTGACAGCTCTTCGTGGAGGCATGATTAACCGAAAAACACGTGCAAGCATGAATTAGAAAGAAACTTCTTAAAGATCAAACTCTAACGCACGAAATGAGTGTGAAAGAAATGAGATAATTTCCTAAGTGTTGCAGCCTCCTAATTATAGATGTGGCGCGCTTCACACCAATTACTCGGACTCTACAGACAGGGATTCATAGAGTCCCTAGGACTCTTGAACTTTGTGCTCTGATGCCAAGTTAGTCATGCCCCGAGCCTATACCTCTGGACATGGTTGACACTCGAGAACCATTTCTGGTCCCAAGCAAACCCTTGGACTGGCTTACTTACTTAGCAGAAGACTTAAAAGCATAATTACAAGGATTCAATACATCTCTTCTCAATTGTTTAATAAAATATTTAGAACGTTCAAGGTCAAACATTCAACTTGGCCAAAATGGCAACTCAAGTCTTAACTTATGAAATAATAATGTAAAGACAACTGACTGATAACTATCTATGAAGCCTCTAAAACAAAGAGGGATGTCAGAACAGGACCCCCGATCATCGTTACAACTGAAGAGCTAAACAATTATGAAAATGAGACTCTGGAAAGAAAGGAGGCTCACCAACTAACTCTGAGTGCTAAACTTGATCAACGAGGCGATGGATGTTGATCATGGTTACCTACGTCAGCATCATAAGACGATGCAGGCCAACTAGCATTAGTACATTAAATGTACAAATATGCGAGTTGGAATGTTAAACATAACATAGGCTTGACAAGAATCTGAAAAGAACACTTACCTTGGCTTTACTCAACTCATGAACAACTTAACTCAATATAAAGCAATAAAACACATGCAATATATAGAAAGCTTTTAAAACTGTAGAAAGCAACTCAGTTCGTTAAAGAAATGCAATAACAAACTCAACTTTACTCGTGTAATAAAGTAATATAGTTTTTGTGGGAGTTTTTATAACCGACAACTACCACTATGAGCCAAAGTGGTGATACAACGTCTTGCCCACGCTGCCAGAACTGTCCTATACTTTGCCGTCATATAGAACGCCTTAACTAAGTGGATCCACTAGTCTATGCTAAAAAGAACTTTAGGAGTGATCTAAAAAGTATGATCATTTACTACCCATGATGGCTACATGGTTTATGGAGACTTGAGTTAATATGAACTCAGATCCCCATATCGGTGCTCAATACTACTGCCAAAATATACTTAGCTCATATGTTTCAAAACAAAACTTCTTTATTTGGTTTGAGATAATTACTCAAAACTTAGCTTAAAAGCTCTCTTGGAAATTGGTGTTTCCCTTTCTTCTGTAAATGTGAAAAAAAATTACTCTTTGGGAATACATAGTCCCGATATACTCTTTTGAAGAAATGTACTCAACTATTTACTCTTTGCTTAACTTAAAACTTAAGTCTTAAAAAAAAATTAAAACGTTTGTGAAAGACTTTTGAAAACTTTATAAACTTCTCTTGACTTGCTTCTTAACTTTTAGACTTGACGCTTAACTTTCCTTGAATTGAATATAGATTCAAGGTTCATGATATCATGTTTATGGATGATTTCATTATGTTTAGATGTAAGAGTGTTGGAATCAACTAGAAAACATAGATACATTGCTAAGGAACTAGTACGGAAGCTTGGGGAAGAAATGGGAAGAACTGGTGTCCCTGGCGCTCTGAGAGGCGCGGGGTGACAGGAGGCAAACTTCAGAGCCTAGCCTGGCGAGTGCTGGCTGGTACGGCGCCCCAAGGGTGAAACCTCAGAGAACTCTTTGGGGCGCGCTGGCTGGCGCGACGCCCCACCCATTTCCCCAGGTGTTTGACGATTTTTCTTGCTCGTTTTTCAACTCTAAACCCTCCAAACTCAAATGGTTCTTTCCCCAAACACCTAGAATCGACTAAACCCCCAATATATGAAAGATTCAACTCAAATTCACACCTATATACATTAATCAATCTCAAGACACATCAACAACAAGAACCCACAAGATTTCAAACGAATTTCATCAAGAACTCATATGATTTACTTTCAAATCAATATAACTTTGTTGAATTGAATCAGGATTGGCGCATGGGTGAACTAACCCAACGCTATGTGATCTCACATACCACGTAGGAATCACCCCTTGACGAAATCCACAAGCTAAATCCTTACGAATGATGATCTTGGTTCTTTTCTCCTTTCTTCTCCTCTTGCGTTCTTTCTCCAAAAACCCTAACTCTATTTTTCAAAAGCGTAAACTGAATCCTATCAGTTTAGACCTTAAAAATATTACCAAAAACGAATTAATTCAGTTGGGTATGGAAAAGAGCAAAATACCCTTCCACAATCCGGATTGGACTTTCCTTAATCGAACAACCCAACTTCCAATGGGCATATCTAACTCATACGAACTCGGAATCGCGCAAACTCGGTGGCGTTGGAAAGCTTATTCCAAGATCTTTCCTAAGATATCTGGAAACACACCTAAATCATCCTGATATAGGAGTTATGGTCATCTGAAGTTGACCAAAAACTCAAAATTAACATTACTTAACCAAATTTTCCAGATTTTCATTCTTTCCAAAAATGTCTCTTTCTAATTCTAGTTCTTTCAATAAGCGAGGTGTTATATATATATATATATATATATATTATTGAGCAGAATATATTATATTAGATAAGATAATTTATTGTGTATTTAATTTGACAATTTATCTAAAACCAAAAATTTTGCAACGTAAATAAGAGGTAAAAAGGCGTAATTGTTTACTTCTATATTTATAGATCAAAAATGTCCTTAAACTATGCGAAAGGAAAAAAAATTCCCTCAATTTGTAGTTTGGTCCAAAAATGCCCTTGTCGTTAATACTTTGATCCAAAATTGTCCTTATTGTTATTTAATGGGTCAAAAATGCTCATTTTCCAAATAAAATATATTATTTCTTTCTTTTTTTAATACATTCTTTTTCTAATAATATATTCTAAATTAGCAAATATTTATCTTACTTCAATTCTAAAAAAATAAAATGAAAATATATTTTATTATAATTATTTTTTATGATGGATATACTATGATCTTATATATATGGCAT